AATTGTGAAATCACAACAATATCCCACCCTCCTATATCCCTCAGAGTGAGGTCTTACAGAAATCTACCCCTTATTTGCCCACGCTTGTGCTGGGGCTTACAAAACACAAAAAGTCTACACCCACTAAAAACAATGCCTGACAGAGCAGTACTGGGGAAGGCTAAGCCCCCTACCTTTTGGGCTCGATCCTGCTAAGACCGAGGGTATATTCACCTATGAAATTTTTCCCCGACAGACGGGTCGGAGTGAGGACTCTAATCCTTCCCCTATTGCCCGGCACTTCTACAACTCGGGGTGTGCACACTTTATATGGATGGCATAACCTTTTAGCAATATTTAGAAGTACAGTAACTCCTCACTTAAAGTCATCCCGCTTAACGTTGTTACGTTGCTTGTCAATTAGGGAACATGCTCATTTAAAGTTGTGCAATGCTCCACTCTTACGTTGTTTGGCTGCCTGCTTTCTCCACAGGTGGCAGCCTCCGTATGCCCCCCCACACACCAGCGCCTCCCGCCCACCAGCAGACCCCGTGGATCAGCGCCTTCCCCCGCCTCCTGCCCGGGGCAATCAGCTGGCTTGTGGCGTTTTGGAGGCAGGAAGGAGGGGGGAGGAGCGAGGACTCGGTGCGCAGGCTCCCCCTCCCTCCCCTGCCTCCCGAACGCCGCAAGCCAGCTGATTGCCACGGGCAAGAGGCAGGGGGGAGGGAGGGGGAGCCTGCACTAAGACCTTGCTCCTCCCCCTTCCCTCCTGCCTCCTAAATGCTGCAAGCCAGCTGATTGTCCTGGGCAGGAGGGAGGAGCCAGAACTCGGCGTGCCTCCCCCCTCCCTCCCCTGCCTCCCGAACACGTCAATCAGCTGGCTTGCGGTGTTTAGAAGGGAGGGGGAGGAGCCAGGACCCAGCGTGCGAAGTAAAGGGGGAGGAGGTGGGGGGGAAGGGGTAGAGTGGGCGGGCTGAGGGTTGAGCCCCCCGCTCCTGGTGCTTGCAGAGTAGGGGAAGCTGCTCTGGAACCTAACCCCTCATTTACATTAATTCTTATGGGGAAATTGGATTCGCTTAACATCGTTTCACTTAAAGTCACATTTTTCAGGAACAGAACTACGACATTAAATGAGAAATTACTGTATGTTCAATCACAGTGCATGTCTTCCCCCTTTCACAATTCTCCACCCAAAACTGTTATGCTTAGAAGAAGCCCACGGGATCTTTTTCAGGGGAAATGGCAATACACCACGTTTATTGAAGCTACAACAATTAGCATATCCATTCAATCACACACACCCCACACACACACACTGCCAGTCTATGTTATAGTTACCAGTTTAGAGTCCAGATCAATCTAGTGGCCCGTTAGGTTGATCACGGTTAGGGAGGAGCCGGGTTCTGTCGGCCATGACATGATGCTCCGGGGACGTCTTGGCAGGACGAACCCAAAGTTTCATAGCAAGGCACCCTGTTTACATAGTGATTTTCCTTTATTGGGACCAATGAGTTTTGCACCATCGTGATGTAATCAATTGTTTGACGAGTGCTTGTTTTCTTAAATTGTCCTCCTTACTTTTTATTTTGTTTTTTTTATGAAGTTTTTTAGGGAGTTCTCCCAGGCTGGTTTTGATCGCAGCTATTTTGTCCCCATTGATAGGTGCCTGTCTTATTTTTAGAGTTGTTAATCTGCCCTCCTCTGACATTTCAATAGGGGCGTGTTGCAGCCTCCTGGCGCCCTTGTGTCTGTCTCTGGTTCCTTCCTAGACCATCTGGTTCAGCGATGCCCTTCACACTTATCTCTTAACACACACATTTCTTATTTACACACAAAACAGAATTAATTTACACAGAACATTTTGAACAGGAACATCAAGTTGCAGTGCAAAAGAAAACAATCATGGCATTCTTTTACTGATTTTAAAATGCTAAACCTACAACAAAGGGGTGACCTTAAATCGTGTGTTACTGACTTGAAATAAGCCCAGACACAGATTCCGGCTGATGCAGCTTTACCAAATGGCCCATTAGGCCATTCCTTTCTGCTATCCAAAAAGGGTGGCTGGCAGGATATGATCAAATCATACACCAATACATTTAACACAAGCTACATTATTATTCTTTATTTTTCATTTTAAATTATACAAACTACAAACATAAAATCCTATTACTACAACTGTATACCATAGGCCTTATATTGCTAACAAGTCTCTTTCAGCGACAAATGTAGAAGCCTGTGCTTTTGGAATAGGAGGAGCTGAGCTCCATCTCTGCTGTCCCCAGGAAGTTCTGGGTAGCCAACAACTGTGTGTGCTACGTGGCCTTGGATTTATTAAAATGCACAACAGTTTACCCAGTGCAGGGAACACAGCTTACGTGGCATACGGACCCTTTTGGCCCTCGGGACAGAGACCAGTGGGAGCTGCGTGCGCCCAGCCCCTCTCGAGATCAGCCCCACAGAACGTTTTCCCTTCTCCCAGATTTGTTCTCTGGCTGCTGCCCTGAGAATGGGAGGCCTCCCTATTCAGAGCCCCATTAGACTCCAGGCCGCACATGCATAGCGAGAGGCTGACAGGACGTGGAGGGAGAAATTAAACCATCCGATTGGCTCATCCCCCAGCCATTCATTCTCTGCTCAGTTGACAGAGGCATCTCCACACACCGATGCCGGGTCCCAGCACCAACGTTCTGGACTCTAGGTGGAGACAAGAGGGGCCCTCCCCTTGTGCTCCCATCCAGTCCCCAAACTGTGTCATGCTCTGCCCGAGTCAGGAGCCCACTCGCTGTTGAGCTGCGTGCACCGTGCACCGGGATCTCTGCATCCATTTCTCTATGATCTCATATGGCGTCCAACATCACAATAACTAAGAACTTGCAGCACGCACATGCGTCCCATGCACCTTTGCATTGGAGCAAAGGATTCTGGGATACACTTAAGACCTTCCATCAGCCTATCCCCGGGCCCTTTGGCGTAAATGGAGACACTCCTTTGGAGGAGAAGGAGGTTGGCGGGAACTTCGCAACTGGTGCAGAGTGATCAAGGACAGGCCTGCTGGCAAGCGTCCAGAGCCGTCACATGACTATGCTGCGGCCTCAAAGGTCTGGCGCTCTCTGCCTGTGTGCAAGATCACGCCTGCTGCTGCTCCTCTGCACTAAATGTGTCCGCGTGGCTGTCTCGTAGGAAGACGTGTTTCGGCCCCTCCGAGAAGAGTTTGGACCAGGGAAAAGGGTTTTTCCTGCTGCAGACGGCAGATGCCGGTAGCTGTGCATGTCCTTGCAACAGTGTCCCTGCCCTGCTCAGATCATAGACACCCTGTTCTTAATGTACACGTGGTAGGGGTCGCTCCGCTTGTCCACCTTCCTGGACTTGGTGTAGCCCAGAATCAAACTCCCCACCATGGCGGCAAACAGGATCATCACAAACAAGATGTACATGTAGGAATAGTCGTCCTTGCTGGCTAGCTTGACGTGACTGCCATTTGTCCGCCCCGTGGCCTGGTCTGGTGGGCACAGGATGGCACCGTGAAGCGTTTGGTTCAGGGCCTCCAGCATTGACTGCAGGCTTTGGTACCACGTCTCCGTCAGGTTCCCCACCTCCATGTCCTCGCAACTCCCAGGAAACTTTCTGCCAGGATAAAGGGGGAAAAGTGACTTCAGTAAGGCCTCACTGGGGGCGGGGCAGGGGGGAGGCACGTACACAGTAAACCTGGGATTGAGCTGCAGGGCTACATATGGCAGTGTAGACATCCGGGCTTGCGCTAGAGCCTGGGCTCTGAAACCTGGCGACGGGGTGGGTCTCAGAGCCTGGGTCCGACCCGAGTCTGGATGTCTACACTGCTAGTTTTAGCCCTGCAGCACGAGCCTCAGTCAGTTGACTCGGACTCTGAGATCGCAGGTTATTTCACAATGCTTTGAGGGAACTTACAAGTCACACAGCATCACTGCTGCAAGACAGGCCCTGCGGTCATGCTGGCTGATTAGCACCAGTGTACAACTTGTGCATATTGGTGAGATGGAATCAAAGTGCAGATCCCAGATCACATAACATTGTGATGTCACCTTCCCCCGAAGGATCCCAAAGCGTAATCCTAATGTATCACCAGTCACAGACATGCAGCGCCATGGAGATGCAGCCACCTCTGGTGCAGAGCACAGCAACCAGACAGCTCACAGTGGGGACATTTTGGCCATGTGCACTTCGGAAAACCCCTGTTCTTATGTAGGGAAATCCTGATCCTTTCCTCTGGGTCTGCAAGATAGTCGCAACAGATCCATTGCAGGGTGTCGGGCGCAGGATTTGTGGAGTCTGTAGAGAAGCTCTGGCATAGGCCTTACAGATCATGGCTGTGCAGGGGCTCTCTGTGCATGGCTCTGATGATGGATTGAGATAGGGTGCTACTGGGGCAGGAGGGTCTCCGACCCACACAGATCCACCAGCCCTATGCCCTGATGTACAGGGGGCTGGGGCTGGGGTGGGGGAGGGAGGGTAAGTAGAGCCCACTGACAGTAACTGCCTCTTTAGGCCTGGTGGGACAGGAAGCTATTAGTGTTCAACACAGCTGGAAGGATTTTCCCCCATCTCGTCTCTGTCTCCCACTCTGCACTACACCAAAGCTCTGGTGATCCCTCACCAGGTGGGAGCCTCGGCAGAGGTTCTCCTCGTATTTCTGTTCCCTGCTTTGCACCGCCCCTCTAGTAGCCACCCTGGGGACTTTCCCTCGGCCAAGAGTGACAAGCTACAGATCGGTCCCTGACGCTCTTCGATTCAGAACTTCAATCCCAGCAGACAACCTGCCCGGGACACTGTCACGCGAGGCACTGTTGTAATGCAACAAACCAACCACCTGATCAAACCTCCGGAGATTTCAGAAAAGCTTTCGGCTTGCTTAGGGGCCACGCTGTGAGTCTGCTCCGGTTCTAGCTGCTCCCCAGCCCGGAGCTGGTCTCTCCTTCCCAACATGTCGGGAAAGGATGTAAAAGTCAAACGAACCGAACAGTGACTCTGGGGAAAGGTGAGCCCCTGGCCTGAGTGGAGGTGCAGGGAAACCCTGAAATAAGGGGGGTGGAAGTGTGAACACAGGGGCCTTGGGGGAGGGGAATGGAGAGATGCCAGGAGCGCCTGGCGTGTGCAATACACTCATCCCACAGCAGCACCAAAGCGTGCGCCCCTCTAATTAAACTGCCCCCCAGAAACACTGCAGAGTGGGGCAGCGTTGGGCACTCAAAGCTCGAGCTGGGGAGTTAATCACAGCTAATTGCCAGGGGTTGAGCCTCCTTCCAACTGCTGAGTGAGGCTGAACACCCTCGAGTCCCAAGGACTTGTGGAGCATGGAGGATGCTCCCGGGATCAAGCCCATGGTACTAATTGGGCCAAGCTGTGAGCTCAGCTGTAAGGAGTGAACGTTCCTACAACAGCACCACACCTACGGTAATAAATGTTGATGGGGAAAGGTGCAAAGGGAAGCCACAGAGAGGAAAGGAGTCCAAACAAAAAGGCCTGTTGATATAGCTCAGGGACTGTGTTAACGCCATGCCCCGTAACCAAGAGAAGGGTTGGACCGAAAATCAATGGACCAAAATTGGTGTGTCAGAAATTAGGTCTAATTGGTGAACAAATTCACGAGGGGAAGGGCTGTTTACCCATTGCATCCTTCTGGGGTCCTCAAAAAAACCCAACACTTTTGGGAGGAGTGAGGGGCGGAGAGTCAAGAGGATGAAACTGGCTGCCAACAACCGCTGTCTGAGAGACCGGGGAACAGGAATAGAGCAAGATTCCTCATTACGGTGAGATTCCCCATCACGGCTGCCACCCACACCAGCTCCTGGGACCCAGAACCCACCATGACACTGTTAGGCCTTCGTCGTCCTGATTCTCAGCAACGTCCCGACAGGGCCAGGCCAACGGAAGGACCCAGACTCAGGCCACATCTACTCTACAGACCTGTATCGGTATCACTACATCACTCAGGGATGTGAAAAATCCACCCCCCTGAGTGACGCACTTCTACTGACCTAGCTCCTCGTGGAGACAGCGCGATATCGATGGGAGAGCTTCTCCCGCCAACATAGCCGCCGCCTCTCAGGGAGGTGGATTAACTACGCCACTGGGAGAAACTCTCCTGTCGGTGTAGGAGCGTCTTCACGTAAGCGCTACAGCGGCGCAGCTGTGCCGATGCAGCGTTTTAAGTGTAGACCTGCCCTCAGTGCTGCAGGTTTTGATTCCAGCCCTGGGGCACAGTGTTCTGGCTGGCCAGGCAGTTGCGTGAGAGCAATGGGGGCCCGAGCAGCACAGGCCCTTGTGCAGCTGCACAGGTCGCACAGACCCACGACGGTCACTGCTGCTCTGGCTGAGATTCCCCTCCACCACACAAGGTCTGTGCCGGTCAGCTGATCTGCACAGGATGGCCTTGCGGCTCAAGCGCAGCACTAGGGATCAGGAGATCTGGCTTCTATTCCCCGCGCTGCCACAGAATGTCCCAAAGCAAGTCCTGTAGCCGCACTCTGACTCAGTTTCCCCGTCTGAGACCCAGGGATAACAATACTCCCCTGCCACGTAGGGGCACGGCGAGGCTTAATTCACTAGTGTTTTGGAAGCGCTTAGAGCTCCTTCAGTGGTCGGGCCAAATTGAAGTGTGGTGTAAGCAGGTCTAACTCCTGCTCTACTGCAGAGGCTCACAATTGCTCTACTGCTGCATTGCAAGGAGATGGCTTTGGCAGATTACACCCGGGGTGGGGGGGCGCCAGCGGTTAAGGCCTCCTTTAACCACCCGAGGAGTTTCACCCGCTTACGCGGATGCTGCAGCCCTTTGTTCCTTCCCAGACAAACGATGGCAGCTGCCCATTGTTCCGCCCCTCACCAAGGCTGTAGCACAGAGGTGGGCAAACTACACCCCACGGGACCATCCTGCCCGGCCCTTGAGCTCCTGGCAAGGGAGGCTACCCCCAGTCCCTTCCCCATTGACCCCCCTCCCCCACAGCCACACCGCCGCGGCGTCCAGACATGCTGCTCTGAGCAGCATGGTAAGGAGGCCGGTGCCAGGGGGTTGGATAAGGGGCGGGGGATCCCGAGGGGAAGTCAGGGGACAGGGAGCAGGGGGCGGTTGGATGGGGCAGAGGTTCTGGGGGGCGGTCAGGGGATGGGGAACATGTGTGTGTTGGGGGGGTTGGATAAGGGGCGGGGGATCCCGAGGGGAAGTCA